GACTGTGTTGGGACGAGCAAAGATGCGACGAGGCCGACGTCGAGAGGATGTCGTAGTCGTTCCAGCCACCGAAGCAACTGCTTTTGTGCAAATTTTGAGTGACGGGTTAATCTTCTATAATCTTGTAGAGGGACAATATCAACGTCTGGGACACACAAAGGAGAGTCTCGGGGAGAGGGGAGTTCCTCCTTTAGCTTTTCTCTTGTCGTGGCCGGAGGTGAGACGGGTATCACTACCTGTCAAGGTAGTGATATTTGTGGGATAGAAGAGTATGCTTGTGCTGCAAAGGCGCTGCTCCAAAAGGTGCTTCACAATGAGCCAATTGCTGGAGCTTCTGGAGTGGCTCTGGCTCACAAGGTTTGGGAAGCTGGGCTAGGTCTTAACTTCCGCTTCAGCACGCTTCTTGGCACCCAGGTCTACTTCTGGCAAAAGGAATGCAGTGCACCTACAACTACGACAGGACCGCGTGAAAAATAGGCACTTGAGTCGTAAACTCCAGAAAATGCTGACTTTGGTACGTTGTCTCGCTCGACAAGAATGTGGGCAACTTTTATCATTTATTTTAAACTAATAATCCGCCGCTGTGTAAGGAGGATGAAGCCCTCTACCAACTAAAAACAAGTTTTTTTTTGTTTTTTTTTTTACACGTCTCGTCCTCTTTGTTGCACCTAGGCGCAAAAAAACCACCCCCGAGTTTTTCATCACAAAAGGTACCGTCCCTCTAGGAAGTCTCTCGTAACCACGCAGAAGCGAGCAATCTGAGCAGGCGACCGAAGGAGACCCTTACGGCACCTCTGTCTCTTGCCCCAAGTTTTCCCCTAGCGGCACGGATGCGCAGAGGGACTACGTCGTCCAAGGGGAAAACGGCGCAAGTTTCTAGTGCATCGTTACAGTACTCCGACCCATAAACATGCCCCTTCCTACAATAGTCGCTGCTATGATTGGATGCCTCCCTCCGCATCCTGAAACAAGCGCGATGCTAACGCTGTCTGTTGCTGGTTTTCCAGTTGGTTGTAGAGGTCTAAAAGTCTTTCAAAATGGTACCTCTCACATTTGTTTTACATCGTTTTAACTGGAAAATTGGTTTTAAAGTGGGCATCATTATGTAGAAAATATTCTTTTGCTGGAGTTGTTTCAAGCTGCTTCACTGGAAACAGTTTACTTCTTACCTTGTCAACTTAAATTTTTCCTAATCTTCCAGTATAAATTTTTCTGCCAGCTCTTTCAGGACAAGATGTCACCATGTTCATCAGTAAGCAAACCACTTTTACTCTACCATAATGCAATAGTAGCTGGTGCTAATTTCAATTTAAAAAGAAATCTGAGAGAGTAAATATACACAAAGAGTGTAATGAGTTTGGCAGCTGAGAATTTATTATTTTATTTCTATTTTTTCTACGAACATCAATGTTTACTTCCTACGTCCGGTGCATTTGCTTTGTGTGGGTAAGAGCAAATGACGAAACGAGAATGAAATATTACTTATGACTATAGACCTATCCTGATTACAACATTTTTTTCTAAAGGTGCAAAGCTGCCACTGTGGTCCTGTCTTCCTGGTAGTCTAGAAAAGCTTATGGAGGAAGACTTGCTAGCCAACATACTCAAGTTTCGTGTTGTCACGGATGACGAGGGAAGAGATGGTGAATAACTTGAAAACTGAATAATTAATTAGGCGAATGTGTGCCTCTAAACAAAAAAAAAAAGAAGGGAGGGCAATGGCAAGATTGCATGCTAAAGCTGTGTTAATTAAACAGCCTCTCTCGAGTGGAAGAGAGGACCGGCAAAAAAGATCTCGTGTCATCCAAGGCACGTGGCACATTCAGAGGTTGTCAGAGGGAGTTTCTACTGGCTGCTTTTATACATGCCAAATGTTCAGGAAGCTTCCATACTAGAAGACACAATAACTGCCTAGAATGAACCGGGAATTTCCTGGAGGGCAACGAATGGTAAAAGGAAAAACTAGGTGGGTGGGGTCTAAATCCCATAATGTGTAACAGGTGGTTTTTGAAAAAATTGTTTTTTGCCTACTTATTGCATGCAATAAAAATCACGCAGACTTTTCTCTTATGTTCCATATTTTTTTCTGGACCAGTGGAGATTATGATTGTTATCATTACAAGTACCTCGTTTTGAGCATGTTGTGCATTGCATTTCGACAAAGACGCATAATGTTAGTAGTGCAAAAGGAGTAATGCTTACATTTCGCTTCGAAACCTGCCAAACCCATAACCATATTTATGGTTATGGGTTTGGCCCATAACCATAAAATATGGCCCATAACCATAAAAATATGGTCGAAACCATATTTTTTCTTGTTTTTCGCCAAACCCAGAGTGATTTGTCCGCCTGACTCTGTCAGATGGATGGATTGATCGATGAATATCGATAGTACAGTCGAACCTCGATATAACGAACTTCAATGTAACGAAATCCTCGATTTAACGAAGTATTTTATTTTTCATAATTTCTTGCCCATAGACCCCATGTATTTTTAGTCCCTATATAACGAAGTCTATTTTGCTGCTATTTCAATATAACGAAGCACCATTGCCATAGAAGGCAATAAATAAATAAACTCTAAAAAACAACTTCGCAAAAAAATTGTGGTTAAAAAAAAAATTATGCGCAAACGCGAGCGCTTGATAGGTTACTTCACGGGGACAGGCCTTCCAACGTTCCTAGGCTGCCCGAGGATGCGGCGCCGGTAGCGCCGGCGAGGCATGCGGCAAAGCGGATTCCGCGAGGCTGGCCAGAAAATGCCGAGCAAAAAGTTAACACGGCATAACAGCATCACCACTGACATTCACTGATCATCATAGTCCACTGTACCGCGGGTAGCGCGGGAGCCAACTTCAGCGGGGGAGCGACGTGATGGCGCGACCGCGCGACCTAGAGTTCCTGTATATGCTACCTACGGTAGCAGAGTTGCGCATTCAGCCTCGGCGCGTGGCCGTAGCGCCGGCTTTGACGCACGAGGTGGATGCTTTGCTCCTCACGTGACTAAATTTGGCGAATAGCGGCGCCGCGCGCGCCGCCGCGCATGGAAAACAGGAGAGGAGGAAAAGGAGGCGGAAAGCAGGGAAACATACGCCGGGGCAAGAGAAACGTCGGCGGAGCGACCGTAAAGGTGGCTTTCTTGCACGCCACCGGATGCTTTGCTCCTCACGTGATGGATCTCGGCGAATAGCGGCGTGGCGGCGCGGGGAAAACAAATGCGCAACTCTGGCTCCCGTAGGGAGCCTATACAGGAACTCTAGCGCGACCGCACGGGCAGTGCCATCTAGGAGAAGACCGAAAAGACCGATTATCGTCTTGCGAGTGTGATGTAAAGCAAAGGCGCAAGCACACTGTGGGCGCAAGGGGGCAAGTGAACTGTGCGGGCAAGAGTGCTGTGTAGGTTGGAAACATTGGCACCGCCTAAACTAAACAGCTTTATTTTTTAACCGGGCGGTTCACCCACGTGCTTGCTGCCATATGGAAACGTAAAGTTCTTCCTTTGGATGAGAAAGCAAACGTTTTGGACGCCATCCTGAAGAAACCGCCAAGATCACGAGCACTCGGGAAGTGCTCGACGCAGTGGACGTACTGAGGAGGTACACGGCATCGCATGGGCAGCAAGATGCCGTGCAAGCGCTCTGGGCGCTCGAACGCCGTATGACGCCGCCGACGCCGCTGCTACTGTCGGACAAGGCGCAAGCAAAACTCGCGGACTACTTTGCCCCTAAATAAATGTCATTTTCGGTGAGTTTTCATACCCGTAAAATGTTTCGGAATTTTTTTTTTCGCATGCTAAAGCCAAATTTCGATTTAGCGAAATTTCAATGTAACGAAGTAAATTGCGAATTTTACCGACTTCGTTACATCGAGGTTCAACTGTATTCTTTATAACGGGCGGCAGCTTACGCCACCTAGCCGCGACGGCCCGCGTTGATGAAAGCATTGCTATCATCAATGTATTCTGGCAGATTCACCGGAGTTGATTTGACGATTCCAGCGAGCCTGCCAAGCGGCTAGCTCCCGCGGACACGATATTGCGATTTTTTGTTTTCCTGTCAACATTTGATTGACATTTTGGAGAAAATAAATGCGGGTGTGCACTGATTATCCCCATTGTTTTCTCGTTTTCAAACTGCTAATCACTGCCCCGAATCGCCGCTTCGAAGCATAACCATGCGACACGGACGAACCACACACACCGATCGCATGATTTGTACGAACCAGAAAATGGAAATGCTGTGCGCTAGACCACGCAGTTGCCACGTCGTTCTGCGCTGGCTCCCGTTGCGTTCGTCGACGTTGGAGTATAAACAGCCTTGTCCGCCGAAGGATTTCTAATTATAACGGCCTCGGATTGTGAATGTCCATCACGTGCACATGCAAACAGCTGCTGAAGCATACTTTGTCCGAGGCAACGACAGCTGGGGACTACTTGAGATCCGGAACCGCTCCGCTGATCCGTCCGCATGCGTGCACCATCGTCGACCGCTTCACACAGGGAATTTGCCGTGAGAAAAGAAGTGCCCGCAACCTTTGAACTTCTTAATTTTTTAACGGGGGGGTAGGCCACGCACAACTGTAATTTTCAGATTTTTTGGACTATTTCAGCACGTAGATTGCTTTACCACCATAAATAGACAATCCCAGAAACCATTTCAGTGCTCCTCGTTTTTCTCTACAGTTATTGAAGACTGGTTGCATTTTGTTGATTAAGATGAGTTGTTCCTTTGTGTAGCATTGTATAACAATCGTATATTCTTTTTCTGTAGTTCCCGAAGTGTGTCCTATTTCATGCACAAACTTTATTTCATGTGCACGTATATTGGTTTTGATTATGTCCCCCCCCCCCTCTGTAATGCCTTTGGGTGCTGAAGGGTACCTCGAATAGATGAATAAATAAACCTGCGGAGTGTGGCATCATCTGGCCAGTGTGGCTCAGCGGTACCCCTCCTGACCTGACTGGCTCTGAAAGAAAGTGTGTGTTCCTCTCTCCATGCCAGGATGCCACGCTGGAGAAGGCAAAGTTCCCGCTGCCGGAGCCCAGCGACATGGAGCGCGCGGGACTGGTCAACTTCAACGACATTGCCGCCGACCTCGTCAAGCTACACACGCAGCTCAAGAGTGAGTGCAACCACGCCCCAGTAATAAATATACAGGGGTGTGACATCTGCGCCCATTGCACCATTTTGATACAAACCCAATTTTCCGCCCCTAGTTGCGCCAAAAACGCGAAATCGGTCGAAATTGTGCCACACTGCGCCAAGGTAACTCAACAACTAAAAAAGAAGAAAAAAAAGTTTGCAGCTATGCTAGATTTAGCGGGAAACGAGAGCTTGGTTGGCAACATTTAATCTCGTCGTAGTAAAGTACACGGCACGGGTACAGGATGGCGCAAGCAACCGCCGAATTCAAAGATTTCAGCTGTAGTACCCTTCTCTGCCCATGATACGTGGTCTTTTCACGATTTTCCTACTATACTTTCCGCTGTGATATTTGATTGCATGTTAACGATGTGCTGTCATGCAGTCTCGCTGTCTGGCCGCGGGAGGTACAACGCACAGGTTATCGAGATGAGGAAACCTGAATATTTCTTTCGTTTTGGGAGTAAACCTTTCCTTAAAAGTGAAGGTTACGCAGGAAAGCCAAGATAATATACGTCGGAGAAAGAATGGAGAAATGTTCAAGTTGGTTCATTTGCATGCTAGGATCGTTGCAAATGAAGTTGAAGATATTGAACAAATACTGTTGGTACATTCTTCTCACGTAATGATGGTTACTGAAACTTGTTTCAACCCGAATGTACTGGATTCCTGATTACTGTGTGTTAAGAAAAGACAGACATTCAAGAGGAATGGCAGCCTTTTTTCGAGGGGAAAGGTCCTTGTAAGCCGCTACAACTTGGGAGTCTCTGCTGAGCAAAGTGTTTGTATGTGGTGTATCATATGTTATTTGCACCATCTGGTGAATTCTTCAGGGAACGTCAGGTTCTTGGGCCGAGTCTGGCAAAGTATATAATTTACAACGGTATATTGCTGCGCGCTTTGCTGAGCAAGCAATGCTCGGTCACGGGCTTCTAGAGGATTCGTGTTTGTTCTTACTGGGACGTAACTCTAATCATTTCATCATACTTTCTTGTTCTCAAAATTGCCTGTTCATTCTCACCCGAACACTGGACGCAACCCCCTGGGCGGAATTTTCCAGATGCCTACTTACACTAGATAAGGAGCTGCACGTTTGTTGGGGTCTCATTCTTCACAGGAATGGAGCTACACTTTGAAATTTCACAAGGTGAAATCCACTTCAAAAATACACCTTTGATGAAAACTTGACGTTGGTACGGGCAGGTACCGAGTTTTTCGGACAAATTTAGTGTGAGCTTTCCCATTTCTGAGAATACATCTTGTCAATTGAAAGTTTCGAGCAGGTTAAGCAAATAACTTGCAATTAAATTTTTAAAAAAAATTGTCCTGACTAACTTGGTCTTGAGTACTCTCTGAATCTACTGCAAGTGCTGCATATAGCATGAATCCTAGTTTAATGTAACACTTTGCACTTTCTAATTGGTCGAAGAGAGCTTCAACCGTGCAGTCAGTCACAATGGGTGCCACGGCGAAGTCCATTGTCCATTTATTAAAACAAATGTACAAACGGACGAAGTTGTTCATAAACATATTCCTTGAAAACAAATGTACTCGTCGATCCCGTTGAATAGAGTAAAAACAAAAGCTGAGCGCATTTACCAACCGCATTTAGACAGCCAGCATAGTGAACAAAAGGTTAGGGTACAAACGAGCTGGTGGTGTTTAAACATGTGAGTGAAAACCCCGACACTGGGATGTCGAGAGACGGACAAACACAGTCTGAAACACTGCTGCAATTATTTCGACAACGGAAGGGCTTATATAGGCTTCAAATCCTACACAAAACGCTAGAAATGAGAGAGAGAGAAAGAGAGAAATGGCAAATCCCATGCCACAAGCAGTACAACACCCGTGTAACAAACTATCCCGTCAACAAATTTGGGTGGGATACTGTCGCACACCCGCCCCGCAGCCCAGACATAGCCCCCAGTGACTACCATCTCTTCCCTGAATTGAAAAAACACCTGGGTAGAACGCATTTCAGAACCAAAGAGGAGATGAAAAAAGAGGTTTTAAGCTACCTTCACAACGCGGCAGGATAGTTCTACGAATCAGTCATAGAGAAGATGGTACACCGCATGCAAAAATGCATTGATCTCTTCGGCGATTATGTAAAAAAAATAGGGGAAAGTCTAAGCTTTCCAAAAATGTATTCAATGCCAGTAAGCATGTTTTTCATTTTGAAAGATCAATGGGAACCTTATTTTATGGACAACCCTCGTAAATCTGAAGTAACTGTAACGACGTTACCTTTTACGGTTTCTTTGGAAAAATGGTGACTGTTACAGTTACAAGTGAGTTACAGTTACAAGTTATTGAAGAAAGTAACTAGTTATTGGTAACATGTTGCTAGTAGCGAGTTACTGCCCAAGACAGGCGCCTGAATTGGCGCAATAGGCTCGAAAAATATGCTTAGTTCTATCGCAAGTTAACCTTATTTGGGTTCGACCGTAGGTCGACCTCGAATTTTAAGCAGCTGTATGGAGAAAGTAAAAAAAAAAAAGAAAAGGAATTGTGGGTCTATATTTGAATAAGCATGACAGTCAGTGCCGTTCCCGGCGCAGCGAGCTTTGACTCAACTCTGATTTCAATGCCACTGAACGCTGTGCCACTTTCGGAGCACAACTGCAGCTTTGTGCAATATTTGTGGGTGGTTGTTTTTGCACCTTATATTAGTATATTGAGCGGCAAGTTAAGAAAACTTGGGGGGACATATTTTTGATGATAAATTTTGTAGCAGGTACGCTAGTTTTGGAGGAATGGCACTTAGGCTAAACAAGCTATCTATCGAGTGTAGAAAGGGAAGTGAGAGAAAGTATTTATCTCAACTGAAGTGTTGCACGATGCCTGATATATATTTGTCTTAAAAATTTATTGTAGATGGAACCTACTCTGGCCCTGAGCCTTGTCTCTAATAAGAAGGCTGTGCATTTCATTGCTGGAAAAGCGTCGGGGCTGCTTGAAACCAATATTTTGCCTGCTACAAAACCAAAACTTCCATCTCTGGGCGTGTTTTTCGTAGCTCAGCAACTGAAGAACTGAATTTTTTATTTTTTTTTAATTAACGGGCATATTGTAAAGTTGGAAGCCTGCCTGATTCCTTTGCACATAGAAACGTGCAGAATATGTCCACGAGCAAAGTATAACTCTGCTGTTTTAAATTTCGCTCGTATCTTTTGCCACCTTCGGAAGATTTTGTTTCATTGCGCGCATGTTCTTGCACTGAGATTAAGTAAAATTTGCGCGCACGTAGCAGCACAACACATTTCTGATTTTTTGTTTTGCTTAGTCAGAGCCTGTATGGTCTAATGCAGGCTCAGTTATTGTTTCTCGAGAAGTTTTACATATTTGTTGCTCCGCCACGATTCACCTTAAAACATGGGTGGGAACGGAGATTGCGGGCACGCGTTTGCAGCTCGACGAGCTGCCACTGCACCAAGACACGCTGCAACATAAGGTGCTCACAGCTCGCATTGCCTTTGCTTGGCCGCTCAAACACTCGAGTCAAAAACAAATAAAATGTTTTGTTAAGTTCTTGGATAGGATGCGTCATAATGTTAACTCCTCCCCCCAAAAATGAGCATAGTATTTATGTCAAGGGGCACATGCCGGTCAGAAGCAATTATGTCACGAGGCACATATCAGTTGGGAGCGATTCCCGAACATGCATCCGTTTGGGAATGTTTTCTCCGATATGGAAGCATGTTTGAGAATTGCTCCCGACTCAAAAGGAGCCTCGCGTCGTAAACAATGCGCTAAAATGTTTTTTTTGCCAGGCCAAGTTTTTTTGCGACGTCCTATCCAGGCGCAGTTAACCCCTTAATTGAGGAGCGTGTTTTTAGACGCACGTCAATTTTGACCGTAAATTGGGGGGTGCGTCTGTAGATGCGCTGCACTTTCTTTGCTACTATTGGGAAACAAAACTTGAAAGTATAAAACAGAGAGGACGAGGACGGGAACAGGACATCTTTTTTGTTCCCGTCCTCGTCCTCTCTGTTTTATACTTTCAAGTTTTGTATCTATTAACCAACACGCTCGTTTTCAATTGTAACTATTGGGAAGCGCGTCTTTAAACGCTCGCTCAATATAGCGTGTGGGTAGGATGTGCCATCTATCCTCGTGTATCGGAAGCATTTTTAGTTTTAAAAGCTATGCATACAAGGCACCACAAAAAAAAAAGTCGAAGACTCCTGTATGACATCTTTGACTGTTTGTTTGGAAAATGACGCCTAGCAAATGCCAGCGCGTCCCTTGAACGACGACACAGAAATTGAAGATGACACAGCGGAACAATTGTTTATAGAAACACCATCAACTTCGGGATCTGCTGCAACCTGGCAAGACGGCAGCACAGTGAAAGATCCATTTCGGATTGTAGGAAGTGCCAGGGTGCACATCCAGCTTGATATAAATAAATTTGTTTTAGGTTTCGACATTATTGTTATACCTTCAAAAACTAGAAACTCTTGAAAAAAAAAAAAAAAAAACATTTTACAGATATTTTTGCTCAAAAAAGTCCCCAGTTAAGGGGTTAAGCGTCCCTTTAAGGTGAGGCAGAGTACAGAACCAGTGTCTCTCTGCACCCCCAGGCTGCGAGGCGAAGGTGCAGCGAGTCCTGGAGAAGTCCGACGAGGAGCACCAGGAGCCGTTCCGGCAGCGGATGACGGGATTCCTGGAGAAGGCCTACCAGGAGCACAGGGAGCAGGAGGAGAACCTCGAAGAGTGCAGGCAGAAGTGAGCCCCCGGCAGCGCTGTTGCCACCTCGGCATCCGCTCCTTACTTGGCTGCATTCGCCTCGTCATCCAAAACGGAGACTCGTTCGACGAGAAAAAAATAAAACAGTTGCAGCTGTATTTCAATTTATTGATTGAACCATCTCATGCAGGAATTGCCATGCCTCCTCGTCATCCTTTCGTTCTTTTTTATTGCGATGAGATGCAGGGTGCTCAGACGCAGTCTAAGGTGGAGGAGCTTAGTGTGGCGTGACTTGTAATGCGTGACGCGTGCAGAGATGTGCTTTTAGTTGGAGACGCAGGCGTTTGGTAGCGGCCAACTCTGCTGCCTCTCACGTCGGACACCTGCAGACGACGGAATATCTGGGTTTGCTTCCATTAATACAGTATGCCATTCTGCAGCAAAAGGAAGCATATGAGACCAGATTAAGGGAGGTTTAGATAAAGTCGGTAAAGTGATTGGAAAAGTGACAAAAGATGATAACGACTTAAAAAATCTAGTAAATTATCTAACAGCCTCGCACTACGACTGCACAGCAAAGCGCAGGTCAGAGTCAGCGGTTATGCAATTGTTTGCGCTGGCCATTAAATGAAATGGCACTGCGACCAGTTACAAAATGGTCAGCTAATTAGTTCGTCAGTGATGCAAAGTTATAAAGGATAGATTAGAGATCATGTAAAATTGGCAGGGAGGCGGGGTGGCTATCGGTGTTATAGATATTGAAAAAGAAGAAACCAAATCTTCCTTTTTTTTATTTTGCTTCTAGACAAAGGAGGTTTATAATTATTACTGTGTTTTTTTAACCGCTTTCAGTTTCTGGGAATTTCTGACCTTCAACTGCTTAATTGTCTTCAAAATCAAACTTGTTGCTTTTAAAATCAAATTCCTAGCCACAAACTGAATGGAAGCAAAATTTAAAATATGTCATTGCTGCAGTCTGTTGGCAGAGCTGCGAACTAAGCCATGAGCGAGCCTGGGTCTTCCAAAACAATAATGTGTGAACCGGGGAAAGCAGACGTAGTATACTAACCCTGAGCGGATCAGAGACTGCTCTAGATTGAGAAGCTAGGCTCGTCCAAGACGATTTGGCGTTAAGCGAAAGATAATTGTCACATGTTAACATTTTGCTACGCATGCACGCCAAGATTTAAAAGACCAATTGTCCAAGTATTATTACTTTCCAATAATGCTCGGTGTACTGGTCTTCGAAATCCGAACACAGACATACACTTCATGTGTCTGTTTTCGGTATGATAAGGTTTGACTGTAAAGTGCTCTAATGTAGAAATAAGATGTGTTGATAGCTCGAGTGGCACCTGGTCAGTCGATGTGACACTTGAGGCAGTGACTGGTGATAGTGCGTGTTTCTTCCCTGGCAGGTTCCTGGAAACGAAGGACTACTTCAGCCTGCAGCCCAAGTCCAAGAATGAGTCGGAGTGGCCCAAGGAGTTGTTTGGGCCCTGGGTGCCCTTCTGCAACGACTTCAAGAACATCTGGAAGAAGGAGATCCAGCGCAAGATTAAGCTGGAGTGAGTGGAATGGCTCTCTTCTCGCTTGCATTTTTTGCAAGATCTTTTTGCTTTTGGGAAAGCTTGTACTGAGACGCTCGGTTGGTGGGAAGTGTTCTGGTGGTAAACCCTTTTTCTTGGATGAATGGTAGGTATCGGAGCAGTACGTGAGGAGGGTTTTTTATTTTTAACCAGCATTGTTACTTAAGTACTTGTGGAGAATTAAAAAAATATCCAAATATAGATTGACCCCACTGAAAGAGAAGGATATTCAAACAAGCATTTATTTTGAAATGCTCTTAGTGACCTGATCTAAAACTTGCTCAGGAACTGTGCTGATTGTGAACTTCCAGAAGGGGTCGACTAAGTGCCCCTATGCCGCGACACTAGGCAGTTTTAGAATAACGTACGCAATTTTAGCGCACGCTAGCGCTAAATTCAGCGCTTGTATTAGCGCACGCGACGCAAGAGAGTTTTAGAATAGCGTTTCTCCGCCGCGGCGCAAAAGCCCAAGCATCTCGCGCTTGCGACACCACCAAGATACAGTAAAAATTTTTATTTTACACACGAAATGCTGTAACTTTAGAAAAAAAACGAGTTTTTTGGTCCAGAGTAGCATTTTAATTTGTTTAAACATGAGAACGCGACGTGAGCGGTTGAGCGGTCGTGTCCGTTTGCGTCGCCTCGGCAAGAGAGGTTTCGTGTACTGACCTTCGCGCATCATACCTTCGCCGTGAAATGTTCGCGCGTCGCAAGCATCAAGTTGTCGGTAATCGCTGCCAAACCGAGTACAATGTCGTCCCGTATTGAAAATTGCAGTCGCGAGAATACCGCCGACGTCGCACTCACGACGCCGCCAAAGCAGCCGCCGACATAATCCTGGAAGCCGCCATGTTTTTTTAACTGTGCTCGTCTTGGATTTAGCCAACTTCTCATCACGAATCCTCCTAGGAGAAGCGCAAAGACTCTTTGCGTACGCACGCTATTTCCGAGAAATAGCGCACGCTAAAATTGCGCACGCAAAGCGCAAAACCTGGTTTGCGTTCGGAGCATGCGCAGTGGCGACGACGCTATTCTTTGCGTACGCAAAGCTTTAGCGTGCGCTATTCTAAAACTCCCTACTTGGTCTGCGCCACACGGCCTAAGCTTCACTGCCTTGCGGCAGCGTGTCTGGAGAAGCGGCTGATGCAGTGCAACATCATTGCTCACTTGATGGGCTCGTAAATTTTGCCCACTTTTACGGGTTTGGTTGGTTGAAAGCATAGGTGGACCCCTCATTTTACATAGGAGTGCTAGAAAAGAAATGTTAACCTACGTTCAAATAGGTATGCCGCAAGACTCACATTTGTTACATTGTAACTGTATATTGGAGGATTGATAAACATTTGAACAGCCCTAAGAGACTGTGATGGGCTCTGCTGGAGACAGCAAACATGTCGGAATGCCTTTCCCTTGTCGCAGCTTGGAGGCTACACGCAAGAAAGTGAAGGAGCTTCAGGAGGCCAAGAAGAGCAGCGTCATGCGGGAGGTGGTCAAGGTGCAGGACAGCAGGCCCTCCAGACTCGTGAGTGCCCGCTCTGCGGGAGAGGGAAGCCCCACAGACACTGGTGGGACGTTGCTATGTCTCCTGGACAGCTGTGTCGTCTGGGCAAATCCTCATGGATTCAGCCTGACGAAATGTGGATCTACGGGAGTATCTACCCTGTTCGGTTTACGTAGGGGGATTCTCGCATGGATTTACCCAGACAAAATGGTGGATCTACAAACAGGGATGGAACTGCTGCACCAATTGCGCATTGTGCGCCTATTGACTTTTCATGCGCCACACTGATACAAAAGTATAAATAAGAACGAAATTGCGCCAAGGTGCACCAAAACTGAAATTATAAGCGATCCTCGTCGAAATTAGCCGTTTCGCAGTTTCTGTTGATGACACTGACATCGGAACTTCCGGCCCAAAGGCAACGCAAGTGAATCCGAATCCCAAGCTCTGTATCTAGAAGTCGCTGCCACAGTGGTCGCTGCCATGGTTAGACTTCGTTTCAGCTTAAAACAGTTGTCACAGCATACCTCATTGCGATGCTTCTGCTACCAGGGGCGCTAAACTCGTCAAACACAAAGCTGGAGCCGAAAGTTTGCGAAGCGTGCTGATTGGACGTCAACGACAAAAACGCGAAGTCATCGTCGTGACTATCCAATCGGTGCGCTCCGTCAACTTCAGCCCCCACTTTGTGTTTGATGAGTTTTGGGCCCCAGACCCCTTTGAAGCCATTCGCTGTTGCTCTGTTTCGTGTAAGTCCACACGCAGATGATGCTACAAGCGCGAGCTCCAGGCCTTCAGCATCCCTGGCAGGAACGCGGTTTTGTGCATTGCGCGCACTGTTCAAGGCCCCATGCTGGCGCTTGTAGCATCGGCTGCATCTGGACATAAGCTGAAACGAAGTATAGCTGCTGTTTGCTGTGTGCTTTTCCGGAGTCCTAGAGTCATTTCATCTGAATAGTGGAGCAAACAGCGCCACCATATTGCGATAAACTCAAATGTATTTAAGCTGGTGCACCTCCCTCTTGGCTGTACTTCCACTGTTTACAAAAATCACAGTCCACACGCTGTGTCCACACGCACAAAATCAGTCAAACCAGCACTCGCTCGGAATTGCGGCCGGCCAGAAACTGCGCGTGCATAACACACAAACACGGCAATGAATGCGCCCTAATACGCTTTTATGGAAAGGTGTATTGCAAGCCTGCAGCTCGCGTTTGCCCGCCCTGATGCCCCTCGCAGAAAGCTTGGGAACATAGGAAAGGCGAGTGAGCAGTGAGGCAAATGGACGGAGCTAGGTACGAGCTAAAAGCTATTTCTGCCTCTTTGTTTATATTTACCTCTTTGCAAGTCAGTTCCATCACGTGTCACACTGTCGTGCAGTTTTGCTTTATATATTTTGTGTAATTTTAATGTAATTTGTTCAGAAATGTTTCAATTGAAATGTTAATTGAAACTACCTTTCACATGCACGCCATATTTCCTTGAGTTTTGATAACCTGGTGACATTTGGCCTCTATTTTAGCATTCTTACAACTCTTCTGCTAGTCCCAACTTGCTCCAAGACCTCGTTTTTGCTGCTCCCAGCCTGCTCCAAACTGCAGGTTTTTCTGCTCCCAAAATTGCTCCAAAGATGCTTTGCCCAGTTCCATCCCTGCACAAAGGACCTTTGCTGTTTAGTCTGGGTGGATCCAAGAGAGAATTCCACGCACGTCTGTGTGGATCTGCTTGTGAATTGTTCCAGACGAAACGTGGATCCACGAGAGGATCTATCCTGTTATGTTTAGGTGTATCCTCAGATTCACCCAGATGAAATAGTGAATTCATGGGACGATTCATTGTTCTGTCTGGGTGGATTCTCTTGTACATTTTCCCAGACAAAACGGTGGATCCATGAAAGGATCTACACTGTTTCATCTGGGTGAATTCTCATAGATATATCCAGATGAAATGATAGATCCACTCTGTTCTGTCTTGGTGACTGTTCTCATGGATTTAACCAGATGAAACGGTAGATTCACATGAGGATTAATATTGCACCCTATTCTGTTTAGGTAAACCCTCTTGTGGATTTGCCCAAATTAAACAAACTGTGAATCCATTGAAGGATCCATCCTGTTACGTTTAGGTACAACCTCGATATCATGGTGATGTGAACAAAGATTGATAACCTTCCGTTCAGGCTGTGCCCAGGTTTTCCTGTTGGTGTTGGACAGTCCATAAAAACGGGTGCAAGCGCTGCGCCAATTGCACCATTGTGTGCCAATCCACTTTTACTCTGCCGTCCTGCTCCCCAGCACAAATGTTGTGCCAAAACTAGCCAAAAAGTTTTTTTTTAAAGCTACATTTGATGCGGTTGTGTCAACGTCAAATCACATTATTCTCATTTAATGAAAACAGGCGCCAAGTGCCTATTTTCATCTGATTTTCTGAATTTTTATGTAACAGATATTTAGCAAGAAAAGGGGATGGGGATCTCTCGGGGGACGGCGTCCTAACAGTGTTTTATGGTAGTAGCAATCCGATCGAACATTGCCTAAATGCAACCCCCAAACTTTACACATCGACATCTTGTGTTGTTTCTATTTGTTGCCTCGAACCTATGGGGGTGAAGTTGGTTTGAACCTCGTCAAACTTTTGTTCAGAATTTTGAAAGTTCTAAAATAGTTGAATTTCTTAGCGTATAAGTTTGAAAGTTAGAAAATTGTTTAATTCCATAGTGTGGAAAATTTGAAAAGTTTTTCAACAATTGAATTTCTTAGCGTCGAAAATCAAGAGTTCGAAAATCGTCGAACTTTTTATGTGATAAACATTTCGAAACGTTTTCGAACCTTTCAATCTCCTTGGTTCGATCTTCAAACCCCAGGTTCGAAAAAGGTTTGCGGCATCTCTACTTGTTTTCTTTCCTTATTTCTCCGCAGAAAGCCAAGCTGGCCAAGAGAATGCAGCAGCTCGGTCAAAGCTTCCCAGTTCAGGGACCGCCCTAGCCCCGTTTGACGGCATCTTTAGCATCGATTGTGATGGAGTGACACCGTGCTAAGATAGCAGCGGGATGTTGGGAGTGTACAAAGGTTCAAACCCACACTGTACAAATGTTAGAAAAAAACTGTAAAAAGAAAAACTTATAGGCACACTTTTTTTTTTTCTTTGTGCAGGCAGCAATTATGCAGGGTATGCTGGGCAGCCAACAGTGCTTGAGTCACAGTTCTTTTACATATTGACCAGCAAACCAAAGAATGGTTTCCAGCTTTTTTAAATGCTCGCGTACTTAAATGTACTCCACTATGGATTGGCTCCGGCAGACCACAGCCAATGCTACGGGCCTCCACGTCCATTGATGGATTGGTTGGAAAGCATGCAGTATGTTGCCTAGACTTGGCATGTTGATTTGGGAGCACTGGCAAGCGTGGCAGAGCTGTATGCCACCATGAGTTCTTCTCGGCTTACAATTGGAACTGGCGGCCCGTAGCTTCGGCAATGGTCCATCGTGGGACGAGACAAAGTATAGGCAGTCGGGGCAGCTTTCTCTTAGCGTTTCTTCGGACATTCCACCCTACTAAATGCAGGATTAATTTATTTAATATTTATTTTACTATTTCATCTTTATAAGGTGTGTTGTAAAAAAACACACTGTCTCTTGTTCCACATAGTGGCAGTCTCGCTCTGCAGTCACGAAAGAAGGCTCGCGTGCCACAGATCTTGGCTTCGCCCCTTTTTTTTAGACATTTCTTCCGTCTAAATGCGAACTTAATTTATTGGATATTTATTTTACTATTTTGTTCCAATGAGCTGAATAAAAGCTATTCCTACAAAGCGCTCAGTCTTTTGTCATTTATGAGGGCATTATCCGTTTGCAGTTGCGTAAAGTCTCGGGAAGCATGCCTGCATTCCTGTCGCTGCTATGCTGCCTAGCTGCCTAATTCCCCTTTCTGAAAGTACAGACGGCCATTGTCGTGCAAGACACATGCCACAAGCGAGTGCTGCGGCACAGTTTGCTTTGAAGGGCCGCACAGGTTTGGTGCGTTGGCGCCTTCGATGCTACTTGTAAAAGGAGCACTCATCAAGGGGTGCATAGCCACTCACAAGTTCTTGCAACAACACTCCAATGCCTTGTGGAGTCTGCATAAAACAATTTCACTTTTTTCTTTTTATTCTAGGGATAATCTTTGCACTTGAGTAGAGGTGTTCGTGACAGCAGAAAGACCTAAAGTCCATGCCAGGTGCCTACAGCACCAAAACAATTGTCGTTGATATCAAGAGGGGTGATGCAACCTGCGAAAAATTGCATTGCATGAAACTGCTGGGTTTAGCGTAATATTTGTGCAGGTCACATTCCGTTTAAATTTTATTTACACTCGAGACAGTTCTATGGAAAGGGAAATGAGTTTAAGCCACATAGCCCAAGCAGACAGTGGCCAATGTCTAATGGTAGGCCAGTGCTTGGAAGTCCCCAGGACGTCCAAGGAATAGAACTAATGAACTCCCAACCGCTCGCCAATGCTTAGAACTTTGCTGGACGTTCAAGGATCGGAAGTCCTGTGAACTTCAACCATTCGCCGTGACTCAAAAGTCTAATGTTTCTTCATGTTATTGACCATCATTTTAAAATGAAGCTGATAGAGCTCTGTGTAAACAAAATTTTATAAAATGTGTAATATGTTTATGAAGTTCGATAAAGCATAGAAGACGGTGCCTGCAAAGGTTTAAAGGGACACTGACAGGGTATTTATGCTCGCCGAGGTTTTTAGTTGTACGTGACATGAGAGCCCAACTACCCAGAAAAGAATTTGCGGCTCGAAATTCGGTTTTTTTTCGCCCGAAAACCGCCGATCGAGAACTGGCCAGTTTGAGTCGCGCTCACTCTCTTTTCCGTGGTCACGGACCGTTTTCTAAGGTTTTGACGTGACCTCCAAATTTAATCAAAGTCGTGGGTCATTGAAGGCACACAGACAATACTAAAAATAGAAAAAAAAAAAATTAAACCCATTTTTTGTGGCTTCCAAAAAGCAGCAAATACGTTGATTGAAAAAGATCTTTCAACCTTTCCACTCTGGTGAAGGAAGAGCAGCGGGGCTGTAGCTTCTGTTCCCAGCGGTGGCTTTCCAGGCGAGCGATCTGCTCTTCTTTCGCAGTGGAACTTTTAGGCGATAGCGTCCTCGCGCGGGTTGCGGAACCATTCGCGCTGCAGCGCACATCGCCGCTCGTTCCGTTCCCGCTCTTCCTCCAAAAGAATGTTGCCGCCATCTATGAGCGACGGCGGCAAGCAGACAACCGGCAAACACAACACTCTGGACAGCGACTGCCATCTGTGAGCGACGGCGGCAACTAGTCTTGTGTCGACCACGGGTGTCGACATTTGTTTGGTACCGGACACGATCCTGGGGAAACTAACCCTTAACAGCTCCGCTGTAAAAAAAGGTTGCACAGTCAACCGGAAGCAATCTTTGCATTCACAGCATAATTCTCAACATAACGTCGTTTCGCGTTTTGAAACGACGTAGAAAATGCTCAGATTAATAAAATATGTAATATTGCTTAATTCGTGTTAATTCGATGGGATGGCGGAACTTGATCTCAGATATATAGAGAACGGATATTTCAAAATATTTTTGGGGTGAAGGATGGCAATTAATTTCAACGCAAAATATGACAAACTATCCTCACTGAAATACAGAGCTCAATCAAACCACTGGGAATATAATAAAACGAACACACGATGATGATATAAAACAATGTCAGTAATGTAAGGAATAATAAATGAATTGTAAAAAAAACAATCTCACTGTAAGCAACGGGTGGCGCTGCGCTCACGCACAGCTTTTGTGATCAGAATTGCGTGCTTTCGACTAGAAATTACCACGAATAAATAGTTAACTGCGACTATACTCCGTTTCAAACATCGCGTGCAACGCTGGGAAAGCTACTGAAGTAGTGCGCATGAAAAAACACACAAAATTGTGTTACTCCGCGAGATTTCGTGGACGAGCGGTACAAGGCGCTGCTCTGGCGATGCCGACATCTCGGTGGCGGTGGTTCGAATCCACTTAGGGCGCAAAGTTTTTTTTTTTGTTTTTTTTTCCTCGACCGATTTTTTGTGTAAGATTGTGCGTATTGCGGAAGTGCATATTTCAATTCCTCTTTTCTTGTTGATTTTTATTTATAAGAAGGTAGACTAGGGGCTGGTGTTCCGCTCGAACTTGCGCCGGCCTCGTCAAAACGGAAGAACGGTCGAGATCCAGGGCGTCTCTATTTAAAGCCGTTTATTTACATGGTAGCGTGAAAATCAGAAAGTACCTTGAGAGTGTGGTGGACGGTCCTTTATATAACGAATATTGTGATTAGGGGACCGCACTGCCATTGTTCAGACGGCTTGGCATTCCCTCACGTGATGTGACTTCATGGAAGTTTCCTTCAGAGTCAGAATACTCGCCGGTGTATGGAAGAAGTCATCCAGACGGCAGTATCTCGGTGTTCTGGTGCCGGCGCCCCCATGAACCGGGGGTGATTCACAATAGACGCGTACACAACACACGGCACTCGAGATCAGGATCGAAAGTTGTTTCCTTTTCGAGGAAAGCAGGGGCCTCGGAATACAGGCATGGGCATGTGCGTCGTTTACTTAGCCGACCAAGGTTAAGGTGCCTCAGGCAGACGGAGCCGACCATGGTTACGGTCCCGCAGGCGGAAGAACCCAGACGCTTCGGAATGCAATCACGGGCACCGCCTGCTGTAAGGTCCCGCAAGCAGACGGAGCCGTAGGCACGATTCATCACCGACACAGTTCCTTCTTGAGGCTTGTTTCACTTTGAAGCCATAAGGCCGATTTCAACACCAGAAATAACAGGTGGCAGTTCACAACACTGTCCGCGTGCTCGGAACTTTCACGTTGCGAGGTCTTCGCTTCGGGGACGCTACCTTGCCAGACACTCCGGTGTCGTTACTGACCGTCTCCAGGACCTCACGGACCGACGTCTCCGGGAAACACAATCTTGAACTCGCGTACACGTTGGCGATCACCTGCTTGCACTTTTGCGAGATCTTCACACAACGAATCTTCGAAAATATCCGAGCAGGAAAAGAAAGCTTCCCGCGTACGACGCCATCTTCACGAATCCGGCGAGGCAGGGGCAGCCGCACAACCCGAAAACCCGAAGCGAGTGCGAGTGCCCCACGAACCAAAACGGAAAATAATTTGGAGTAGTTACATTATCTTTTCCTTTTTATTGAAAAAGAATCGGTGTTCCCTCGAAATCATAACGCCACTATTAGTTACCAGCTACAAAAATGTACACTTTTTGACTTCTTTTTTTTTTTTTTTTCTTTCAGGGGCCGCACTATTTTGTGGAGCGAACGTAGTCGCGGTCGGCTGTGCAAACCGGCGCGCTAGCTTTGACTACGTTGCACGCTATGTTTGAAACGGAGTAATAGTGGTACTAGAATGCAATTTACAGGTTCTCTTTATCATCTCATTTATGCCAAGCACCTACACATTAAAATGAAGCCGCCTGCGTTCACGAAAGAAAAAAAATATCCCGGACGTCCTTCGCTTGAACTTTAATGTCGCGGTGAACGTTCGAAACCCCTGTACTTCGTTTCAGCTTAAATCCAGGTGGAGCCAATGCTACAAGCACGAGTTCAGGTACACCATAGTTCAGGGTTTTCAGCGTCCCTGCCAAGCAGGCGCGCTCGTGCAGTGCAAGCACTGTTCAGGCCACATGGTCGCGCCTGTAGCCTCAGCTGCGTCTGGAACAACGGTCTGGAATTAAGCTGGAACGAAGCATAGACCGAGCAGACGCTCACTCGAAGTGGCCGCTCTCAGGTATGTTTTCAACCGTCGTAGTGAAGAGAACGAGCGCTCAGCTTCCGCCGCAACTATACTTCGTCTCACCTTAGCATGGACGACAATCATACTAAATCGCCTGGCAAAAAAGAAAAAAAATTGGGGGTGTTACCGCCGAATTCAGAAACCTCACTCAAACTACACTCAAACTGAAGGGCCCCTTCACTTCCTCGAGGAAGTGGAGGGGCCCTTCAGTTTGAATGTAGTTTGACCCCCCATTCACACTGGAGGCGGATCCGCGTTCGCGAAGCGGTTGCGAACGCGGTTGTATGATGATCCAGTGCAATTGCACGCGCATTTGATGTCATCAAATGCCCGTGCAATTGTACTGAATCCTTCTACAACCGCCTTCGCAACCGCTTTGCGAACGCGGATCCGCTTCCAGTGTGAATGAGCCCTGAGTGAGGTTTCTGAATTCCGCGGTTAGTGTCCCTTTAATAAGGCAACGAGCTTGCTAAGGCTGCGGTCCCACGGCGGCCATGACATATGACGCTTTCCGCACGTTTTCGAAATGCGATCGTCGCGTGTTCAAGCTTGCTAAAATTATGTGTTATATATCTTCTTGTAGTGTACAACATTATCTTTTATCTGATGTAGGATTTGTTTTCCTAGTGCAAAAAGCTAATTCAGAGGGCACCCGCGAACATTGACCTTTTCGGCAAAACATGGTTTCGTAGTACAGTGGTACAGGGTGCACTATTGGAGCAATTTCTTTCAAATTTTCGAATGTTATAGAAGAAGAGTGCGTTCATTGTCAACGGAGGCCCTTTTTTCGTTTTTTATTTTATTTTGACAGATATTTACTTTAGAAAAATTGACTTCGCGGAAGCACTTCAGTCGCGAAGTTTTGGGCGCCTACTTGGTCATTTTATTTGAAACTTTTTACATCAGTTTGTAATTATGGTCGAAAGAGTTACGCTAAATTTCATTGTATAATGGCTTAAACTTTTTTCAAAATGCTCACGTGAAAAGTGAC